ACTTAGCTTAGCTGTTGTCGTGTGTGACGTCATTTGCGTCGGCGCTGATTGGTTGAAATCAAAAGACGCGCTTGCGTACATGTTCGCGCTGAAACACGCACAGCAGAGAGCAGCGGACTATCGACTGCTGAGGCTCACTTAGCTTGAGTGGAGTCGCCACAACAGTAATACCCTTGCCTCGCATTCTCATGGCCTCGCCATATCTTGGAGATTTCGAAATTTCGGCCCGAACGGAAGCCATAAAGGGTACACGTGTGCACACAAAAGGAAGATTAATCATTGAATGTCGAGTATTTGAATAGCGTTTTGTGTAAACTAATTCATGTTTGATCGGCCAAGTGCGCGCGTGCGCGCGCGTGTGTGTGTGTGTGTGTGTGTGTATACACACACACACACACACACACACACACACACACACACATTTATTTATTTTTGTATTTTTTCCGGAATTTTCAGAAAAGTCCACTTTCATCTCTGCTTTATTAAACACGCCTTCCCTCCGAAGACCTTTGAATGTGTTGTTGCCTCCTCAATCAAGACCATCTCAGCAACAATGAAATTGTACAATTTCAATCTGGCTTCTGTACTCACCATAGCACTCAAACTGCCCGTCTCAAAGTCACAAATGACCTCCTCTCCTCTGACTCTGGCCTGTTCTCCATCCTCACCCTCCAAGACCTCGCTACGGATTTTGACACAATAAACCAATCCATTCTACTTTACTGTCTTAAAACTTTTCTCAGTTTCACTGACAACACCCTCACCTGGCAGACATTACATCTTTCAGACCAGAAACAGTTCATTTGTCTCAGTCATGGTTCATCCTCTATTGCCTCCCTGTTCCAAGGCGTACCTCAGGGCTCGGTATTTGGCCGTCTCCCCCTCATCCTCTTCCTCCTCCCCCTCGGTTGGATTATCCATCGCCATGGGCTCCACTTTCACTGTTAAGCCGATGACATCCAAATCTGCCGAATCTGCCCCCTGCACCCTCTCAAACTGCCTTTCTGGATGCAAACAAACTTTCTCAAACTTAACTGTACCAATTCTGACATTTTCATAATAATTCCAAATCCCTCATTTTACCGATCATAGACTTGAATTTCTCCTTCGACAACTCCACCCTCTCACCCACACCCCACTGCCGGAATCTTGGAGTCATCATGGACAACAATCTCACCTTCTCCCAACACATTAAAGTAGAAGAAAAAAAACAACCCCGAGCTCTGTATCACCTGAAGAATATTGCCTTCCTTGGCCCATCTTTCTCCTTCTCTGCAGCTGATACGCTTATCCATGCCTTTGTAACATCTCACATTGACTATTGTAACAGCAGCCCATAAGGCGCACGCTCTAATCCTCTCAGCAAACTTCAAGACATTCCAAGCTCTGCCGCCTGCCTTCTCACCAATACCCGCTCCTATGAAAACATCACCCCTGTCCTCCAGCACCTTCTTTGGCTTCCCGAGCCTTCACCGCATCAATTTCAAAATTCTCCTTCTCACCGTTAAAGCCCTCAATACCAGGCCCCCCACCTACCTTAAAGACTTACCCCGTCCCTTCACCGCTTCCCGTGCCCTGCGTTCCTCTGACAATCACCTTCTGACCAATCATAAGAGCAGACACCAAAGCTGGCGGTACAAAACATTATCTTTTGCTGCCGCCACCTTTTGGAATTCACTCCCCAAAGACATCCGTGCTACTATCGAACACTCTATTTTCAAAAACAAATTAAAATCACACCTGTTCCGCACTGCCTTTAACCTGCAATAATTACAAAATGCAACCTCCCCTAATTATCTACTCCAAACACACTACTTCATATCCCGCTTAAATAGATTCGCCCCTGCCCTGGGCAGATGTCCACACTCAGAACCAAAGCAGGAGTGATCAGAAAAAACGTGGCAATTTTTAAAGCCGTGATTACTTGGTTAATGTGACATGTTCACAATTCAGACCGTGACACAGACTGCAGAAAGCATCCTTGATCCTGAAACTGAAATATCTTAATTCGTGAGGCATTATAAAGAGAAATGTTGTTACCATTGTGGTTCTAAATAGTTTCTTTGCATATCTAGAAAAGCCCTATACGTCCAATTTACTATGAGTAGTAGTTGACGTGTGTGTGGCAAACCCAGACACACTTCCTCCCTCAACAAACGCACCCAGTAGGATTGCAGTGAATGTCAATAAGTCCTTTTTTTTTAATACATGTCGAGCGCCGCGGGAAAATGGACGGTGGGTTACAAATGGACCTCAGACTGCAGTTTGGACACCAATGGCTGAACCCATCCCTCTGCTGTGCATCTAATGGTTAGCATTGATGAAAGGCACAGAAAAATCAGGGTCGCTCATAGTTCAGTGTTACCTGGCAATTCTCTGATTCACTTATTCACAGAATATTTTTCAGAACCTTTCCTCTATTCCTGTGCTGTTTTTGTGCTCAGGCCGTAGCAAGCGTGACTTTGGCACCATCTTGTAGCGTAGTGGTGCCAAAGAACTACGCTGAAGTGACTTGATTTAGCCAAAAGTAGTGCTTTGTGTCATCTATGGCGATGATAAAGACATTTGGTTGGGCATCAGTTACTTCACTATTCAGGGTAGGGCATTGTTCCTGTCGCCAACGGATAGCAAGGGAACACTGTCTATGGCTGTCAGGCTCATGTGATTGCCAGCACTAAGTTAGACACCTGAGGTTGTGTTGAGTCACACACACACGTTTGTTTGTAGTGCTGCACTTGTGTAAGGCGGATGTGTTGACACACGTAATAAGGAGTCTGTTTTGCATAGTCAAAGCGAGACAGTGTTGCTGCCATGTGCTGTAAATTCTGGAATGCCGCCTAACACTCCAAATTAAGGGCTCCATCTTTCATGAAGTACCAGATACCTTTTTTCAACAGCACAGCGGTTGCATCCGAGCCGTCATCGAGCTCGCCGTGATTAGTGGCTCCATTGCGTAAACTGGATGAGTTCTTCTTCCTCCTCTCCAGAAAGCGAACCACATGGGAGTTGAGTCTGGAGGAAACAAATCCAACACTTCAGACTTGGACCATGACTAATCTTCAAGATGACTCGGTTTCACTATTTTGACTTACTTCATGATCAAAATATAGACGAAATACATCAGGATCAACGTGAGTGCTTCCCACCTGAAAAGCACAGTAACTCAAATTCATGGTGCAAAAAAAACAAAAACAAAACAAAAAAAAAACAAACAAAAATGTGGTACTGTTAAGGGAAGTCGAGCAACTAAATTGTAATGACTAACAACATAAATGACACTTACCAGACCACTTTTTCATCATATATGAACTACAATAAAGGAACAAGAGAGATACACTGTTAGGTCAATGAAATGTTTCATTTGAATAAAAATGAGAATGACTTCCTAATCACAACATTGGGTACACTTACACTGTTAAAAGAGTTTCAACAGGAGGACTAAATTGCGGAATTATATCATTCTGATTCTGAAGTTATTTATTTATGGTATATGACATAAAATGTCATATGAACCAAAGTCTGAGCCAGGACGTTTCTATATCACTGCGTGAGTACAACAATAAATAATAACTTATTCCATCCATTCATCTCTCCATCTTAACATTTTTGCTACATCTTGTTCTTATTAGGGTTGCAGCGGAGCTTCACACGCAAATTTTTCCAAATTTACAGGCTGCTAGTAACATAAATAACATGCATGTTTTGGGATGTACCAGGAAGCTGGCATATATTGTTTTATAGGGGACTGAAACCTGAGTTTTTGACAGATATGCTAAACCCTCTATTTAGATAATGTTTGAATAAATACTTGTTTGACAGAGTAATGTAAAAAGGGGAAAAAAATCTTTTGACAGTCCTTGTTCTTGGACCCCAATCAATAGTGCATTTGTACCTCATGTTGTGTCCTGCGAAAGTCCAAAACTTCATTGGAAAGCCCGTTTTCAAGAATTTATCGTTTATAATTTATTTGAATTTCTTATGTAACAGAATTCAAAGTGCGTTGAATGACTGAAAGTAGCGAATTACCACAATAAGGGCAGAGATAGACAGAGTGTAGTAGGTGGAGTCTCTGAGCAGAGGCCAGCAGGACAAATGGATGGTCTGGGAAAAACGACAAAAAAATAAATAAATAAAATCAGGCCCATTATTCTTTTACACACAGCTCTATTATTTATATAATATTATTAATACTGATAAAATGAAGACATATTTTAATATCAGGGCTCAGTCCTGTTGAGTAACACACTCTTGACAGGACACTTTTAACAAGATAAACACGGCTCTGCGTTGCTCTTGCGTAATATGTAATCTAAATAGAAAAACATTCTTTCAAGTATGTTTCGGCGTTGCTCGCGGGATTAAAGGGGCAGAGAGGGACAGGCGGGATTTTCTGACTTGCAACACGGAATGGGGCTGAGAACACGTTCTCTCTTTGCGAAGTGTGACGTGCATTAATTAAAGAATAAAACTATTCAAAGTTGCCTGTCTAATGAAAAAAAAAATGATGTTCTTTGAAGAAAGGATACCAGCCTAAGATTTTTTCTCGAACCACACAGTTTGTCCTTGACATCATTGAGCTCAATTATCATTCTGGTGAATGTTAAAGACTTTTCTTATGTCCTACAGAAATTTGGGAACGACCTTTCCATTCTCTGATTTGTCCTCTTTTTAAGACTCATTGCCCCGATTAGATGTTAGAGAGATAAATGTAACGTCTGAAGGCAGGTTTGATTGCCTGACAAACGAGTCTTCACAATGAAAGACATCCAGCGGAAACCAACTCGACTGTTTTTGTCCCCAGTGATTCCAGATTTTAGCCTTATTATTGTCAATATTTTATTGTCAATTATGGCCAACAAATGGACAATTCTTATTGTCCTTGAATCCCAGTAATGAATAAACAGTGAAGTCTCACTGATGGTGCAAAACAATTAGAAAATGGCTTGCGTTGGTTGCTGTGTTTGAAGAGAAATGAGGACAATGTTGACCCTGGAGTGTTCTCCAGGTTAATATCTTATTCAAATATGTTTTAAAGCACAGGTGTCAAATTCAAGGCCTGGGGCCCAGATTTGGCCTGCCACCTCATTTTCTGTGGCCTGCGAAAGCAAATCAAACATGTCAGCTTCCATGATGATTGCCAAAATTTCTACCAAAAACAAAAAAATTATCATATGTAATGTATGTAGCTAGCTATTGTAAGCACTGTCTTGTTACCAAACCTCTCATTACAGTAACTTCAAGAATACAGTGCTACCTCTACTTACGAAATTAATCGGTTCTGGAAGAAATTTCTTAACTAGAAAATTTTGAAAGTAGAGACGCATTTTCTATGAAAATGCCCTAATCCGTTCCAAGCCTCTGAAAATTCAGACATAAATGTTTTCTAAAGCATAAATATGCATCAAAATATGTCACAAATAGATGTTACAATTAGATTATTGCACAATAAATGAGAGTTGTGTATAATGTAAAAAACAAAGAATAAAAATGATGGTCATATAACTTTTAACTGCGTCCTCCTCGTTTTTGTCCTCTTTAGTTCATGTTCTCTCTCAGAAGTGGTTTTTGCCTGGCGTTTTGTAAAGAATTGATCCAAGGACATTTGCTTTTGTCGGCTACAATCCTTTGAAAATGTCCAAGGCAAACATCAGCATGACTGACACTTTTTCTGGGTGATTCACATTTACGTAAAACGCTCAGAACACCTCATGGCCCAAGGGGCGAATAACGAGGACGCTGCATAGACACATATCTATCTCTCTATCTACACAAATAGACACGTACGGTAGAGGTCCCTCTTAGCTAATGGGATGCCAGGAGGATGCTCTGTAATCACCACTGGCAGAGCAGCTCTAAGTATGTTGCGTTCAGGAAACTCGAAGCTGGGAGTAGCAGCCCATACTATATTTTTCCCTTTCGTATCTTGAAATTTCTTTCGTAACTAGAGGTAATATTTTCATGTTGAGGCGTTTCGTAACATGAACATTTCGTATGAAGAGACGTTTGGAAGTAGACGTACCACTGTAGTTGAATAAACCGGTAATTGCCTTCTTCATCCTGTTTCAGTCATAACGGCCCACCAAGGGAAACTAAAATGTGGCTCGCGACCAAAATGAGTTTGACACCCCTGTTTTATAGAAAAGGTGTAACGAGGGTCGAAAAATGAGAAAAGGTGTAACGAGGGTCTTAAGTTTCCTGTGAGGTGAGCGACTCATTGCCAGAGCCACTTCATCTTGTGAAAATGATCCGAAGGTATGGTGGGGAAAAAAATATGCTCTAAATTATTTTCTTTGTTCCAATCGTTATACTTGGGCATCCGAGAAAAGCACCACTCACTGGCACTTTTGAAGTCCAATAGGGGTGAATATAGGATGTAAACCTCAGTTGTGCTCAGCCCACAGCAGTACAGGTTCATGAAAAAAACAAAATTACTTGAGAATGAAATACTTTACTTGTCATAACAATGTACTTTACCTGCATCGCAAATATCCCACATACTCCGATAATGCAGAGGATATTGAAGACAGCTGAGCCAACAATGGTGCCGACCCCAACGTCCCCTTTAGTAATGAATACTCCTGCAAAGCAGATATATAAAAATGATTCTTGGGCATGTAAAGTTATTGGTTTACTTCATGAGATCAATGTCCATGTATAGCCAGCCTAAAGTGTTTAAGAGACAAATTATCTGGAAGGGTCTGCCTTTTGAAAATCCATTGGTATTGCCAATTTGAATTTCTTGTTCATAGTTACAGAAATCTGAATTCAAAATGGTTCACCTGCATTGCATCAGCAGTGCTTTCCGACCTTGAAAGAGACCCAGGAACCCCATCATGTAAAATGAATTTATATTTACTTTTACAACCTACTGTGACGGATTTAGTGACTTTTATGGGTTCAGTAAGACTCTTTAATGAAGCTGCTGTCTGGATGTTTCCCTTTGTGTGCGTGTGTGTGTGTGTTTGTCACCTATGACTGAGGTGAACAATTCAGGTGCTGAACTTCCTGCAGCCATGAAAGTTGCCCCTGCAACATCCTCACTCAGATGAAGGCGCTGTTGTAAAAGAAAAAATAATATGAAAATTGAAAGAAAAATCATGACGGTAAACGTTGGGAAAGCAACATTAAAAAAAAAAACAAAATAATGATAAATGATTGTCAATTACCTCGCATATCTTGTCAAGTGAGGGGACGAAGTAATCATCACACACAATAGCCAAGGCATAGAACATATAGACTGCCTGCAAACATACACACGTACACACATACACACACACACGTGAGCTTGTCCTAAAAAACATATTTTAGGCAGTATCAGACAAGAATGCCAATATACAGTTTAACTGCCACAATACTTTTTAACTAGATCAGTTTTCAATGATCAGTTTATAATCCAGTAGTCCTTCAAATAAAACCCAGTGTCATTTTTTTACCGTATTTTCGCGACCATAAGACATAAAAGTCTTAAATTTTCTCCAAAATGGACAGGGCGCCGAATAATACGGGTCACCTTGTGTATGCGCCGAGTTCCAAAATCAGTGAATGTTGTGTTATTTGGATGACGGGCCCGCTTGACAGAGTGATGTTGTGCCAACACTTTGCTTATAATGAGGGAAGGTGCCGCATTATGAAAAAAAAAGTTTGACTTATGATCCGGAAAATAAGGTAATTATCATTACTAATTAAATATTTTCTTCACTTTAATTTATTTAATGTAAAAATTTATGATTTTGTATAGAATGATTATTGAAATACCGTGATTATTAAGCCCAACGTTTTGTGCCCCCCCCGTGGGACTGTCTTAGTCTTCAACAGTCGTAAGTACGTCCTCCCATCATACGTACGTGTAAGGCTAGCATAAGCATCACCACACAGCAAAGGCACGATGTGCTCATTGTGTTTGATTTCATCAACATTCTCTTCTCTCCGAGAGAAGCAAAACACATCTGCATGCTTTAAATATTCCCTTTAATAGGGCACATCATGTATGTGCATATTCATAGCATTATTATGCAACTCAACACTCATGAGACATGAGCGCTCCCTGTTAATTAAAATACATTCTCACATGTGTTAATTAAGATGAAGCCTTTGGAAGTAGGAACGCTGGAACTGATTTCCAGAAAAAAACAGACTATTTTGAAATTTGGAAAAAATGAAAGATAAAAAGAAAACAACTCCTGTATACAGGGACAACAAAACAGCAAATACTTGACTGTAGGTCCAAACTTGAACGTGTGTCAGAGGGTGTAATGCTGCATAGACACTCACGCAAAGGACGTGCAATCCCACGGCTCCATCAATGCGTTCCTGGTTTGTGAAGTAGTCTCTGGGGAACTCGTGAATGGCTGCAGACAAAACAGAACGCAATGAAACATGGCAGGGGGTGGGTAGGCTCACGTATTATCGAGTCAGAGGCGATATCCACACTGTCATCGGAAACATCTCAATAGAACAGCGAAAGTGGGAATGAATTCACAACGCTTGATCAAAGTTCTATAAAATAAAAGGAGGTCAGGATCTTATGTGTGACTTTTTTTTTCTTTTGGCATGCATTACTGTGTGTATTTTGATGTGGTTGTCATTTACATTGTTGAAATACTGAAACGCTAATCTTGACTAGTTATTTAGTAGCTAATGCGTCTACGCTTGGCTTCTTCCCCAGCTGTTCACACCTTTATCATTATTTATTGAACCTCCTCAAGGAGTACCAGTAGTTAAATGCGTTATGTAAACCTTCACGGGGGGTGCTGGAGCCTATTCCAGCTGTAGGCGGGGGACACCCTGAATCGGTTGACAGCCTATTGCGGGGCACACATAGACGAACAAGCATCCGTGCTCACACTTACACCCAAGGACAATTTAGAGTGTTCAATCAGCCTGCCATGCATGTTTTTGGAATGTGGGAGGAAATCGGCGTACCCGGAGAAAACCCACGCAGGCGCGGGGAGAAGGTGCAAACTCCACACAGGAAGGCCAGAGCTGGAATTGAACCCTGCACCTCTGCACTGTGAGTCCGACACACTAACCAGTCGACCAAAGGGCCGCCCTGCCTTTTGCCCTATGCTTGATAATTATAAAAATTGCATTGCTTCTTTTTGATGACCCCGATGGTCGGATTTTCCAACCAAATCAAGAAAATCAAAGTTAGTTCACTGTACGTCAAAAATGCTTATTATTCTCTCTTGCGTATCATTTGCGTTCCTTTCTGAATATCAATTTAAGGGACTACAAATTTGCACATACAAATACGTGGCGGTCATACTGTAAATTATTTGTGCTCAGCATGAAATGTCATTCCAATCTGATCATGACCTAACCGACACCATCAATTAATCATTCTCTGATAACAGCAGCCAATCGGGACAAAATAAGCCACGTCGTCATCATGCACATTTCCCATCGCATGGAAGCGTGCGTACGAGCAGTTGGGTTAAAAATAGCTCCAGCCCAGCATGTCCCACCCTGTGTGTGTGTTTGTGTGTATTTGGGATTTGCTTGGCTAGCTCCACTGTGTGTCTACTTAACTTGCTGTACGTTAGTGTCTGTCTGTGTGTGTGTGTGTGTGTGTGTGTGTGTGTGTGTGTGTGTGTGTGTGTGTGTTTATGTGCCTGTGTAACGTGATAGCAACCCAATGTGCAGTGACATTCTCTCTCTCAGCACAGCCGAGAGGTCGTGAGTCAGGCGATGGCACCTGCAGCCTGTCTTGTGTGGCTGCAGCACAGGCCTGTCTCTCCATAGGAAGTGCAAGCGGCAAAGATGAGACCACAGGATACGCGGGTGGCAATGAAGTGATTTAAAAAAAAAAAAAAAAAAAAAAAAAAAAGGCCTTTTGAATCATATGGAGGAGCTTTGATATATTAAAAGCACAAAGTTTATCAAAACACGACAGTTGGATCCAAATGATTTGTGCATGTTATGTACAGTATGATGTGTTCGGTGTCTTTTTTTGTGGCTTTTTGCTTAAATTATTATCGATATGTATACATTAGACAAGAGTGATATTGAGCTCTAAATTCACCACAGCTGTGGATTGAAGAGCACTTTGCAGAACACACAATGTTTATCATTTCAAAACTGAATTTGCTCGATCGATTCTTTTCGTATTTATGCACCCTCGCCTTGTTTGGGCTCAAAATACTTGAGGGCACATGCAGTCAGGTCCATAAATATGACACATTGACCCACCTCTCACCATCACAATATTTATGAAATGAAACAAACAAAAAGTGCTTTTATTTTTTAACTCCAGACATTTGGATCACATTTGAGGGTATTTACATCCAAATCAGGTGAACGTGTAGGAATGACATCTGTTTTGTATACAGCGTATGCCTCCAAGTGTGCAAATGAACACTCACGAATCAAACATTCACACATTGACACAGACAAATTACATCCTGAAGTCTGGAATGTTAGCATCCACCATAGAATAAATAAGCACAAGTTGGGAGCCTTGTCTGGTTGACGATGTGCAGACCTGGCCACCACCTTGAATCAGAAGTACCCAGCCAACTCTTCCGTTCACTTGTATTGAGGTAACTATGTTTGACTTCGATAAATTAATCACAACTTGTTGGAATTCTTTTCCGGTTTGGACACGCATTGGTTTGTTGGAAACATCAAACATTCAAGACACCAAACATGTGGGGTGTTTTCAACTCAAGGATTTCATACCATATAACTTGAATGTTTACAATCAAGCACCCCTGAGAAGATGCCATAGTGATGCTTGATTGACGGCTGCACAGACACGGCTTCGAGGTCTGCGCTATTAACCCTTTCAGGGATGGCGGTTACGACAGTGGACAACTTATCATGCTATCAGGTTTCAGGTTAGCAGTGTTGGTGCATGAAAGGGTTAATTGTGTTTTCCGAGAGGCAATGGTGCCTGAGTTCCTGCATGGACATGCATATCTAAGATGATACTGACAAGCACCGTTTGACGTTGAGCTCAATGTTCATTTTGACATTTTGGAAAAATCTGACAACATTGCATTTCAAAACTAAAATCAGTATAATTTGAAGACGGCAGACTCATCAAAAGTAGTGCAAGTTCCTGGATTTTAGCACCGAGTTACGGTGTACTTTGATGTTGGAAATTAAATGAAACATTTTTCAATCAAGCGATCAAATGTAATTATTTTTCAGTTATATGCTACACTGTGCCATGTTGTATTTATGTATTTATATTAATGCTACATTATGAAAAGATTGGTAAGGTATTGGATAGAATACAATATAATATATATCATATTTGACTTCCCTGCGATTGGCTGGCAACCAGTCCAGGTTGTACCCGGACTACTGCCCGAAGACGACTGAGATAGGCTCTAGTATGCCCGCGACCCTCGTGAGGATAAGCGGCTCAAATCATGGATGGATAATATTTTACATATCGTTGGTCACAAAGCATGATTGCCTCAGTCATATTTCAATGTTTTTAGAAAAAATGACCAAAAAAAATTTTTTTTAATAAATCCCTTATGTTACAATTTCTACAATTTTCGTAGATTTTTGCGTGTTGTCATCTTTAAATCAAAGACAAAGCATAAAAATTGTGTGATATGAAATATTCCAATTCATGTTTTATATATATATACATATAGATATATTTTAAGTTTTGGTCATAGCACAGTACCGCTTTTATTGTCCATAGAGGGCAAAAATACAAAGAAAAAAATAAGAACTATATATGTATGTATAGCCCTGATGCCACTGAACATGTCGAGTGGTTGAAAGTAAAATAAATATTCAGGAATAATAGTTTTACAATTTTTGTAAAATTGTATGTTGCGCTATATAAAATTATTTACATCGACTGCAGCACAAGGGTTTTAAAGAACACACATTGGTATCATTTTTTATTGATATTGTAACAAAGACTTCAATCAGATGGGTGGAAAAAGTAAGCAAAAAGAAAAAAAAAACAAAAAAAATGTGTCACCGATTACCAAGTAGTCGTTCAAAAAAATGTATATTTATTTGGTTCAGTTCAGTTGTATTTAAACCTTTCATTCGCCCTGTACCTGATAACATGATAAGCTGTCCACTGTAGTAACCGCTGTCCCTGAAAGGGTTAAATTGTAAATTCAATAGTATATGAGCTTATTTTTTTTATTTTTTATTTTTTTAGAACTCTTTGTCTTCACATTTACTTTGGTACAATTTTTATTTCACTTTTCACTGTGCAATACATTTTGATTGAATCATAATGAAAGTACAGTTTTTCTTCCGACATTTAATTGCCAAGTTAAAATTCAAACTGTGCCTAATGTTACAGTGGTTTACAATAACATTAAATGTTCTTTTCAGGAACAATGCTCTGCCTCAGTTTGGATGAACACGACCTACTCCAGGCCTACAGTCCTGTGCTACGGAGTTTTGACTTCGGTTATTATAATGGCGGGACACTGAGAGACCAATTTTTTTTCGTGTGCTGGTGAAAAAGCTTAAGAGCTACTCAAGTTTAGCCTCCTACATCAATGCAAAGCACCCAGTCGCGAGTGCAGCCAATGCATGAAGTCACCATAGTTACTGTGTCCTCAGTAGCCTACCAGAAGTGGTTGGTACCTGCAACCTATAGTTTCGACCACCAGGGTGAATATTACCGTCTGAAGCAAGTTCAGTGTTCAGTGCTTGTATTGCTCAGAAAAGTGTTCTTACTGTTTTTGACATGTTAACCTAAGCACTTTTTATGGGCCTGATGTTCTATTTTTATTTTTATTTTGTAATTCTTTGGAGATTTACCAAAACAAAACCGTGCTATTCCCCCTGGTGGTCGAAACTAAAGGTTGCAGGTAGTATTTGGGATTCGTCTCAAATACAGCAGAAAGTAAATGGCTTGGACTGCATCTTTTCAAGTCTGTTTAAAAACAATAAAATACCTTATAATGCCACTTTTTTCTGATGTGAATCTTTTGATCTGCCTCAATGCTCAATAATGTAACGAATTTAAAACTAAAATAGGGGTTCTCTCAGCAATTTTTAGATGAGATTAAAATATAGATTAATTAGATCAATTAATTACAGATCATAATTAATTAATCCCACATTTTTTTTAATCTCTTGACAGCACTAGTTTATGCTAACAATGCTCTTTTTTGTATCAGTACACCATCTGTTGTTCGTGAACAAATGCTGCATGTTTTTCTTTAACTTTTAATGAACAGTAAAATTTGAGTCGTGGTTAGCAAATGACTATGACTAAATGTAAACAAAAATAAATGAATAAAAAGCAAAAAAAATTCATTGAATCCCACTGTCAATAAAGCATTTCAAGAATCAATAATTGATCAAAACAGTCAAAATTGCATCCCGAGTGTGAAGCGATAAAGAAATCTAGCAT